GGGGAATTCTGGGAGTTGAAGTCCACTCATCTTAAAGTGGTCAAGTTTGGACAACACTGACATAGACAGATTTTCTCCTGGATGATCAGTCCTCAACATGGCCTTTGGGGTCTCTCAATGGTGCCTTCATTGCTGATGTAACTGAGTCCATCTACCTTACTGCTGGTTGTCCTCCTGCTCTTTTTCCTTCCACTTTTTCCAGCAATATGGACTTCTCAAGGGAGTTGGGTTTTCGCATGATATGTCCAAAATGAATAATTTGAGCCTGGTTATTTGTGTCTTAAGTGAGAACTTGGGAATGATTTGTTCTATGAACCATTTGCTTGTTTAATATTTGTGTGGAATGAATGAATGAATGAATGAATGAAACATATTTAAGCATCGCTTCTACTTTGGCCGTAAATTCTATTCTCTTGTTCTTGGATCTCCAGACAACACCATGATATTTTGGTTAGTGGATGAGGACCGTCGCAAGGCGGTGCCTTCAGCTATCTCAGTGGAGACCACAAGCTATGCGCTTCTCTACTTGGTGAAGCAAAAAGATATTGCAAAAGCTAGCAAGGTTGCTAGGTGGCTGACAGAGCAGAGAAACTATGGAGGAGGCTTCAGATCAACACAGGTACTGACTGGTGTGACCCCAACCATTGCTTATCAGAAAAGGAGTGGTGAAAGTATGTCTGAATACAGACTGGGAATGAGAGCCAGGAGTTGGTGTTTTTTGTAAGAGAAAAGTAAGGTCTGGATGGTAAAGAAAGGTGGATGAACAGGACTCTTCCTGAGAAGTGGGCTTGAACTTTATGTCTCAGTAGGGAGTGAGAGACAATGGCAGACTCAGAGACCCTTGCGGATTGAAAAGAGGCTCGGTCCACACAGGCAGCAACAAACTGTGATGGTATAATGATATGTGGGAAAGACCTTGGGAGACTGAGCAAAGAGACACTGCCAAGGGAACGGTTAGATAAGAGACAGCATAGCCCGCAGCTGGATAGTGGGTGGGGCAGGAGGCTCAGAAGAGACCCTCCCTAGTTTCTCCGGTGATAAAGGAGATGGGGCAGGGGGAGAATTGTACTTTCAGACTTGCAAGGTTCTGTCAATGTAGCTTTACAATAAAGTAGAATTAACTCATCTGGTTGTGATTCCTATCTGGTTTACCCTGTGAGGCTGACATCAATCTTGCAAGTCTGAATGTACAATTCTCTCCCCACCCCACCCTGTCTTCTTTACAGTCCGAGAAACTAGGGAGGGTCCCTTTTGAGCCTCTTGCCCCACCTGCTATCCAGCTGAGGGCTATGCTGTCTCTTATCTGACCATTCCCTTATCAGCATCTCTTTGCCCAGTCTCCCAAGGTCTTTCCCACATACCATTACAGATGGTATAACGCAATGATCCTAGATGGATTGTCTCATTTTAAGCTGCAAATGAGAGATGCAGTTTCTGGATGCTTGTCTATGAAAAACACTATCAAACACATACTGGAAGGTGTCTGCCAGGGGAAAATGCCTTAAAAAATGGATATATTGGGGAAAGACATGTACAACAAGGTAGGAGGGAAAATGTTTGCAAAATATAGAGAAAACAGCATATAAAAAAGACACTGATTCTGAGCATATAAAAGTGCTGTGGATTTTGGTGGGCCAACAAATGCATACAAATCTTCAGGAATTTGCAGAACGATACAAAAAGTGGGATATGGTGAACCTGGGCCTCACAAAATGCAGATAACCTAGGAAGTGAATGATAGGAAACGGTGTGTTTTTTACATGGGTTCCCCTAAAAACTGCCAGGCCCTGATTTCTGTGGTGGCCTCTCTTCCCAGGACACAGTGGTGGCTCTGGAAGCCCTTTCCTTCTACTGGATCAACTCTTTCAAAGAAGAAGAGAATGAGCTAACAGTTTCTCTTAATGTCCCTGGAAAAAACTTGCCTATACAGCTTTTCTTTGGGAGATCCAATGATCCAGTCCAGGAAGAACTACAGGTACACATGTTGACATGGGTTTTTCTGGGTGTGTGTGCAATGTGTAGGTGGATGTAAAACCATCTAGCCCTTTCCACCATCCTCTTAGCAAGCATATTTTCCACTGGTCAGTTCCTATCTGGATCTTTGACCCATTGACAAGTCAAGATGCTTTTGAGCCCAGCTCAATTCCTTGAGATTACATGGACACAATCATGCAGTTTTCTTGGTAGCAGCGTGGAATGGTTTGGCCTGCCTTCTTCTGCAGTCTAGCCCTGGGATTCCTTGGTAGTGTTCCATCCATGAAACTCAGATTCCATGCGTGGAATGGTTTGGCCTGCCTTCTTCTGCAGTCTAGCCCTGGGATTCCTTGGTAGTGTTCCATCCATGTATT